TATCCATATCTTTCAAATGTGTAAGCAATTTTTACGCATTCAAATCTTTAACATACCTTTCCCTTCATTTTGTTGGACTATATATTTATCTNACAATCCTACCTTTGGAGGTCGTGCGCATTGAATGCGCCTGTCCTCGTGTCTCGTGTGCAATGATGGGGACAAGCTCTATATAAATAGAGCCTTGTCTCCTTCTTCACTCTTTCGAATCCCCAGCCTTTCTCAGAAGCATTATGTCGGAGAACCATCGGAGATACTGTCGCCACCGGAATAGTTGCAATCCTCTTCAAAAGATTGCTAAAGGAGAAAAGATTCACGCCTCCCTTTTCTCTTCTTTAGTCTTTGGTGAGTATTGTCTCGTACTTTGTCTTTTAACTCTCCTTTTGCTCTTTTTCTTTCATTTTTTCTAGAGACTCGTGGCTTCCCTCTGTTTACTCTGGTGTCGTCGTTCATCCCTTAGGATTCCCTCCATAAAATCCCTTTTTCTCCCTTTTGTAAATGATGCCGAGGCATCGTCGCCTTGTCGCCAAGGTCCAAGATGCTAGAACCTATAGGTCGAGGAAGTACACAGAAAAGGGTCGCCAGCAGATTACCAACTTCAAAGCCCACTAAGACATTCCTCGTAGCATCGACGTGGATGAGTTCGATCCAGCACGTCATCGTCCCGATGTCGGCGCTGAGGAAACCATACCCTTCTATACCAAGGCTATCATGGAGGGTGGGATCAGATTCTCCCTCCACCCATTTCTCCTCCAATTCTTGTCCCGATTTTAACTTTTCCCGGGGCAGTGTTGTCTTAACACTTTTAGAATAATTTTAGGGGTGGTTGAAGTCAATAGACGCCTCGAGGTCAATCTCGGCCTCGAGGACATCCTCTTCTGCTACTCCTTGCTGAGGGTGATACTACAACAAAACTTCTATTTAAAAGCCTGGGATCCTTCCATGTACCTTGTAACACACCTCCCAGATTCTGATAAGGGGTACAAGGATGACTTGCTAGTCTTCAATGGTGCCTGGGAAAGTGGGGTCGGCCTCAAGTATGACGGCTTGAGTTGTCCCAAGGAGTGGCGAACAACAAGTACATCGACTTCTCCTTCTCTTCTCAGCTTTGTTAGTTCTTGATAGATTTTTGTACAAGTCCTAATGTTCTTCTTCTTTTGTGCAGGGATCTCTAACCGCGAAGTTACTCCTCCACCTCGGCANTTGGGAAAGTGGGGTCGGCCTCAAGTATGACGGCTTGAGTTGTCCCAAGGAGTGGCGAACAACAAGTACATCGGTTTCTCCCTCTCTTCTCAGCTTCGTTAGTTCTTGATAGATTTTTGTACAAGTCCTAATGTTCTTCTTCTTTTGTGCAGGGATCTCTAACCGCGAAGTTACTCCTCCACCTCGGCACCTGGTCAATTTCGACCATATCATTACTATCTGGGGGTACGTTGGTGATGGGTTTGGCAGAGCAAACCACGTACTCCTAGACTATAACCCGGGGTACAATAAATACTCCCAGACTCCTTAACTATTTTGATCCTTCAAGGTGGTCTGAGCTCTTCCAACAAAACCTAGAGGAGGACCCTGACAGGGATACTAAAGCTGAGTTAGAAGGGGCTGCTGAGGGAGGTAATGTTGACGAGGTGGTGGAAATAAGGGTCCCTCTACCACTATCGACGACAAAGCAAACACATCCCTCTATCACTATTGACGAAGAAAACACAATTGAGGTGGCAATATCGCACAGACCTCACATCTCCCTCAGCTTCTTGAATGAGAGGTCCACCTTAGCTATTGGAAGGGGTCAGGGATCCTCCAATAGTGACTATTCTCCTCCTCCCCCCAAGAAGAAATGCTCTTATCATCACTCCTCCGCCTCCCCTGGTGGTGCCGAGACCCATTGGCAGGGACCAGACTCGTGAAAGAGATCCTCAACCCAAGAAGGAGAGGAGGATCAAACAAAGGTATGATATAACAGACAAGGGCAGGGGCACTCACCAACAACACCAACCCCTCCTCCTTTAGCGCCGACAACAAAAGTCGAGGAGTGATGCCCACTGGCCTGGGATCGCAACAACAGGCCGATTTGGGTCAATGAATCCATCATCCATTCTCCGCACGTGGCCTACGTCGTGAGCGAGACGTTCCTCTTCCAAGACGATATGGAGGAACATTGGTAGAGGCCAGGTCAACAGCCTCTTCCGCAACATTATTCAAAACTCCTTGGTGGTAAGATCTTGTGTAGCCTTGTAATACCCTTATTTTCTATCTCCTTTCATCGGTGCAACCGCCCCTCTCCTTATTCNGCTCTTCCAAGCCGATATGGAGGAACACTGGTAGAGGCCAGGTCAACAGCCTCTTCCGCAACATTATTCAAAACTCCTTGGTGGTAAGATCTTGTGTAGCCTTGTAATACCCTTATTTTCTATCTCCTTTCATCGGTGCAACCGCCCCTCTCCTTATTCTTTGACAGACTACTCAGCAAATCTCGACCATCTTTGACCACTTCCACGATCAGCGAGAGAGGCTTCAGGAATTGGACAAACAGAAAATTGATGCCGAGGGAGCCCTTGCTAACTTGATTCGATATGTGTACACCCAAGTGGAGGTGGTCAAGTTGTAGTAATAATCTAGTTAAGTCCGAAGTCGAATATACAGGGAACTATGATTAGTGTTTTGAAGTAGCAGTGATAGAGACAAAATAATTGAAAACCTTCTAAACATGTAGTTAATCATCCGATTTATTAAACTTGTGCTTGGTAACTCAATTAACTCCCCTGTCAATGGCAAGTTAATCGGAGGATANATACAGGGAACTATGATTAGTGTTTTGAAGTAGCAGTGATAGAGACAAAATAATTAAAAACCTTCTAAACATGTAGTTAATCATCCGATTTATTATACTTGTGCTTGGTAACTCAATTAACTCCCCTGTCAATGGCAAGTTAATCGGAGGATAAAGGTGGATTCTAAGAATTAAGCACATGATTCCGATACCTTTCTAGAAGTTTACAAGAATTGTCTGTGTCGAGACTCAACCCGTCTATAAACAAGCAAGTGTTTCTACAAGACATCCAACCATGGCGTTAATATTTCGTCTTTTAAATGAAGTCCAACAATGGTGAAGATTGAAAGGTAGTCATGAAGATCTAGCCGGAGTACTTGCCTTGAACACATGGATCTTTCTATGCAAGAGTCATCCATGTCATAGAAAGAACCCACAGTTATACAAAATACCTTAGCTTTGCTAGATNGAACACATGGATCTTTCTATGCAAGAGTCATCCATGTCATAGAAAGAACCCACAGTTATACAAAATACCTTAGTTTTGCTAGATGCATTCAAACATTCAATAAACAGGGGTAATATAAAGCATTAACGCATAAATGAAATGCACAAAATCTAACTTACAAATGATTTATACATGTTCATCACCTCTTACTAAATAGTGAATGAGAAACTACTCACTCTTCATGGCATTAGTAAAACTAGAAAAGTGAGTGATGTTCATCCCTCTAATTAGAGGACTTACAAGGTAACACAATAAGCGAGGAGCCGATCTTCGATAAAGAATGAGTGAATCAAGTTCCACCCTTTACGGCTTTGGTAACACTTTAGAAAAGTGGAAGAGTTTCACTCCTCTAAGGGAAGAAGGAAGCTCAAGTAATGGAATTGAAAGACAATAAATGAAAGTAGAAGAAAGCTAGTCACTTTTGGAGGGTTTCCACCGCAACCAAAAGATGATCTATCTCCCTTGATACAAGTAAATATAAGAGTAAGTCTAAGACTAATTATATAACTACAACTGGGAATCAAAGCCTCCTTCAAGCTTTCTGCTAGTTCTTGGTGTAGTCTAACCCTTACAAACCAAGTTCTAGTTTCCTCCCAAAAACTTCCCCATTAAAGCTCCCATAAGGGGAGTATTTATAGGCAAGGAGGAGGGGAGACAAGAGAGTGTGAAGGAATAGTGTATGCCATCCAAGTCCAAGGAAAAGTCAACTACTCTGCAGCCAGTCTGGGGACAACGTTCGAACATTGTCGGGCATTTGAACATGCTGATGGAGTCTAACCATCTCACTCAAGTGGCCTGTAGTCTTCTGTGAAGTTCATTTCCATACCAACGGGCCTTTGGTCTAATGGTATTACTTATCTTATGAAAGTTTTGTCTTCTTGAGGTCAAGGGTTCAAGTCCCTCCTCCCTAAAAAAAAAGGGTTCATTTCCACACTCCATGCAGCAGTCTAGTCTTCTCATGATTTATTGTAACATTCGAACGTTGATTGGTGTTCAAACGTGGTACTCAAGTACCTTAGGGTAGTTGTAACATGCCATGTCTCAGCAGCCTGGTTTTCAATTAATTCTAGGAGGCGTTCAAACGTTGTTTGGCATTCGAACATTCTTGCTTTGTTCCAAGATTTTCCAATTTTGTCCCCAAATATGCTGGTGCTGTATTCAAGTTTGATATATGTTGCTTTTGAGCACTTGTTCACTTTAGGACCTGAAATGTCATCATTTCAACTCTATCAAAGTATAATTAGTCTTAAAAAGGCATAATAATAAGCTAATTTTAACTAATAATCACTTGTTGCCACGAGAGAGGACGTGGCTGCCAGGGATAAGACGTTGTCTTCCCGGGCGGCACAAATTGCTCAGCTTTTGAAGGATGGCAAGGTTGTGAAGGGGAATGTTGAAAGGTTAAGTGCAGCCTTTGCCGACACCAAGAGGAGAATCACGAAGGTGACAAAGTAGCAGCCCTCAGCGGAGGCAAAGATCCAAGAGTCAGAGCAAACTTGCTCCACTCTCACCTAGGAGTTAGACAGCATTAGGGCACAAATAGAAGTGAACAAGAAGAAAGAGTAGGAGATTGTCAATAGCTGCACCGACAACGTCCTGATCGCCCTTAAAGAAAATAAGAAATAGTTCTTCAAGTTAGGCTAGGAAGATGCACTCAGGGCAACGGGGGTTCCTCCTGAGTCTCCCTTTTTCCTTATGCATCAGTATGTGCTTGCAAAAGTGATGTTGTGGGCCGCGACAGCGGTCGCAGCTGAGGATGCTAAAAATTCACAAGTGTTGAACTCGACACCAATTGGAGAGGATACTTCCTCGGCCCCTACTATAGGGGCTTCTACTGCTGTTCTTTCCTCTGTTCCTCATGTTCCTCGGGCTGACGCTTTAGTTGTCCCTCTTTCTACTCCTCCTGCTCCCCAAACAGACACCCCTGTCGCACCTGCTACCGTGGTGCCGCCTCTTGGCAATGCTAATACCCTATTTGCCAGCATTGATGAACTATTCGGGGATGTTGGAGGGACCATCGGTGGCGAGTTTGATGGACCACCTACTGCGTCTTAGGCTTAGCTTTCTTCCATTTTCGTTTCTTTGTAACATCCCCCAAATTTTGTAGCCTAGAGGACACAAAGCCTCCTTTTTCCTGGAATGAAAAACCACTTTTCCCTTGTGTTGATCCTTTCTCTTTTTTGTTCCTTCAACGAAAGAAAGTCTTGCACATGTGTGCATTCTTCCCCCCTTATTTGTACTTTTGGTGAAGGTAGAATCTTCGGGAAAAGGTAGAATCCTCTTTTTTGCTTAACCCTTTCTCATGGGAAAAGTAGGAAAAAATCTCTAAGTGTCCCCCTGCAGAGATAACTTGTAGATTATACAAGAATCCAAGGGACATTAGCGCCGAGGACACGTGTCAGTCATGAAGGATTTCAAAGAGTATCGGTGTCGAGGACACATGTTAAACACTGAGGATTTCGAGGAGTATCGACGTCGAGGTATATTAAAGCCAAGGTCCCTCTACCATTGTTTGGCTCCATGCTTTGTGTAGAGGCAGTAAATCAATAGCTTTGGCATGCTCTATGAAGAAGTTCAATAGTTCTCTTTGTCAAGTTGAATCTCCAGCAAACTCAGTAGTAGTAGTAATACAAACCCCTCCTATCTCAATGTAATTTTCACTTCGGTCAGTGTCGTCTTCCTTGCCCGTTAAAGGGAGAGGCTCGTGTTGATCCCTCATCCCACTATCATCCAGCTGAGATTCCTCAATAAAATAGGTTCTAGAACCAAATGACTTCATCCATGTACTTGTGCAAACAGACATCAACGCCCAAACTTTATCAACTACTGGCATAGCCTGTAAAATTTCGTAAATGGCATTAGGGAGTGATATATTTGTTAAAGGCAGAATGATACTCAANTGATGAACTCTCCCCTTTGTGAGCAGTAAACTTCTTCCTTGGCCCCATTTTTTTTCTTGAAAAACATATAAAAAAAAATGGGTTTGGAGTGATTTCAATCTGTGGAACTACTTAAAANCCCCATTTTTTTTCTTGAAAAACATATAAAAAAAAATGGGTTTGGAGTGATTTCAATCTGTGGAACTGCTTAAAATCTTTTGGGGTTGTGTTTAATAGTCTTAAAATTGAAGAAAAGCTAATGGGTATATTGAAGATTTGGGGTTAGGGATGAATTTTAGGACTAGTTTTTTTTTAAAAAAAAGTTAGTTGTGAGGGAAAATTTTGGTCTAAAATTGCGAACTGATCTATTTATAACTGGGTAGTACCGTCCAGACGATGCAAGGGCATCCGAACGGTGCTACTTTTCTAGTTTTTAATTTTGCTTGACCCTTTAGCTTCCTTGTGTGTTGATTTCTCTTTTCTATTACAACTTGGATCCTGCAATTAAAAATCAACAACTAGTTAATTTTTCCTTCAAATATGCATTAAAATCCTAATTAACTTAACAAATCTAACAAAATACGAAATCAAGACATAAAACATTCCTAATAACACACAAAATAACACAACAATTTAAAAGGAAGGCACATATCCCTAAAAATGTTCATCCTTTCTTATGAAAAAAGAGAAATTTCAATTTGAATCCTCTAAATCCAATGAATTAGTGAATCAACCAATCTCACGTTGCCCATATTTTGTAAGTAGTGGACTAGAATAAGATGGTGTCTTAGGAAAATCCTTGCTCTACTCATACTGAATCAAGTCAACATGATCAAATGCACGACTGGAGATTTGTTCGAAACAATGATTGAATTCTCTCATATGCATTAATCGACCACACTTCACACAACCACCAATTTTGCTCAGTGGCGTTTGGCGTATGAACTTTTTCTCCACAAAGGTCTTTCTTGGCTCTCTAGCAATCCTAGCTTTCTTACAACCCTAGCTTTTGTCATTATCAAGGAATGTATATCCATCAAGAATGTGTGTGAAACTACTAAGAAAAACTGGAAAAAAAAAAAATCATCTANATGTATATCCATCAAGAATGTGTGTGAAACTACTAAGAAAAACTGGAAAAAAAAAATCATCTATTTTTAAAAAATTTTGAAAATTAAAAGACTCACTATCTGGTTGTTTAATGTCTATCAGTCATAAAGACGATTTTCAAAACAAAATTGAGAAATTCCAAGAACTCAAAAACATGTGAACTTATTCCCACCCCCAACCTAACATAACATTGTCCTCAATGTGAAAAACATGTAAATAAAAGCTTAAGAGAAATAGATGTATAAATAGGTGACGGGAAGGAACATTATTCACAATGTAAGTTAATCTGCAAAAGTTACAAACTATCAGTACAAATATTTTTACAAAAAAGAGATGTATTTAAAGAGAATATTGTGGTTCCATTAAGAAAATGGAATCTACATTCCTAACAAATCCATCATAAAATGATTTGAGTCTCTGATCATTCACTTTAAAAATGTTACCATTTGATGGATTTTAAATCTCAACTGTCCCATGTCCAAGTACATGTTTGATAGTGTAGCCTCGAGTTTTATAACTGGACTTTTCGGGATGGTACAAAAGATTTATGCACAATATTTTTATTATGAAAAATTTTCATTCTAGCCTTTGCAATTTTGGCATTTTCATATGCCTCATTTCTTAGCTCTTCCAATTCACTAATTTGAAACTTCTCGGATGTACTTGCTTTTTCTATATAAAAATTCATCATTTTTATTACCCAATATGCTTGATGTTCCAATTCTATAGACAAGTGGCATGCTTTGCCACAAACCAGCCAATAAGGAGTAATGAATGCGTAATATTGCATTTTTAATGGCCTCATTACATTCATTTTATCTTGGTTTTCCAATGGTTTATTGGAAGTTAGTTTAATTTAGAGATTAATGGAGAAATGTATGATTGGAGGTGATTGGGTTGTAATTACAGGACTTTAAACACTTTTCAGTGTTTTGCAGACAATGGGCAAGAAAAGAACACAAAGAATTAAGGCTAGGGAGTGCAGAGTGCAAAAAAATCAAAGAAAGCAAAGAGGTACCAATACAATTAACAAGAACTACAAGTATTTGTGCACACTAGAAGAGAGGCACAGGTACCTCATCACTTGGTATTATTATCTAAGCCCACTAGAAGATAAGTACCAGTACCTTGGATTGTACCTGAGCCTTATTCAAAATTGAAGAAATGAAGGAGGTATAGGTACCTTCATCACATGGTACTAGTACCTAAGCCCACTGCCAGCGGGGTACGAGAACCTCATCACTTGGTACCAATACCTAAAGACCAGAATTCTCAGATTACTTTCTCCATGATCTTATTAGCTACAAGGAGCCCCCTTAGGATGTCTAATCCTTTTTTTGACTATGTCGACACTCCACCATGACCCCCTAACCACTACAATCAACCTTTATGCAAGAAATTAGAGAGAAAAAGATGAGACAAGAAAAGAATGGGAGTGGTTAGAAATGACAAAAAGGCCATACCTTGGCTGACTTAGGAAGGATCCAATGTGTGGCTCTCAACACTTTGAAGAGTAAGAAGAGCCCTATGGAGGAAAATTCATTTAGTATTCACCATTACATTCAACTTTAGAGAGAGAAGCTCCAAGGAAGAATAATATAGTNAACACTTTGAAGAGTAAGAAGAGCCCTATGGAGGAAAATTCATTTAGTATTCACCATTACATTCAACTTTAGAGAGAGAAGCTCCAAGGAAGAATAATATAGTTTTAGAGAGAGAAAGTTGAGTTTTTGTATTTTCTTACTCATTTTCATCTGTGTAAGTTTCTAAAGCTTAGAATCTTCATTTCTAAACTTGATATAACTTCCATTTCCCAGTATGAATGCATTCTGTTAGTGTTTCACAACAACAATTGTTTTAGGGAAACTCCATTTTCACTGTTTGAGCTTTATGCTTCAAGTTCTATGTTCTTGGTGTTTGATGAAAGCTTTAAGTTTGTTTATCTCTTTCTTTGGTTAGTTTAAGGTAGTATTTGTTTCCTTAGTAATGTTTTTCATGTTCTTTAGCATTTTCATTCCATCTATGGTCGGCTAGAACATTAGTTGGTGAAATCCTTGGAAGTATTTCCATTCGGGGTATGGAAAAATCAATTCTCAGCCTTGTAGTGTAGTGTGTTGAATTTGACTAGGTTAACTGCAGCTTTTAGATTTGTACACATTTGATGCACCATAAACTTGTCACGGGCCATGCTTATCATCCCCTCAACCCTATACGAATCAATCTTCATACAAATCAATTCAACACCAATACACACATTTGGTATCTCTTGATTTTTAATTCCTTTCTTCTGATTGAAACACTATTGAGGATTATACATGGCATTGATTGACCATACCCGGTGGATAGAATTCTGAGGATTAGCCAACNCCTTTCTTCTGATTGAAACACTATTGAGGATTATACATGGCATTGATTGACCATACCCGGTGGATAGAATTCTGAGGATTAGCCAACCCTTTTCATTAATAGATTTTAAACCCCGAATCTCACAATTAACCAACATTTTCAGTAAACAACTTTTTATTTTTTATTTTAAAATCACTTTTGAAACACTTGATCTTGACCTTTCNACCCTTTTCATTAATAGATTTTAAACCCCGAATCTCACAATTAACCAACATTTTCAATAAACAACTTTTTATTTTTTATTTTAAAATCACTTTTGAAACACTTGATCTTGACCTTTCTTGAGGAAACGACCTCGGAACTTTTTTCGAGTTAATACACAATACATAAGCCTCTCTGCACTTGGGGAACAACTTTTGCATCATCATAATTTTGAAGGCACACCACTTTTGGCACTCACATACATTCCAATATACCTGTCAAACAAAATTCACAAGTAAAATAATTCAAGTATTTTTGGCACTGTTATCAGGGAATGCACAAGTGCTAAGTAATTGAAGGTAATTCGGAACAATGGAGGTTAGTCTCATTATTTTCATCACAACCAATGTATATTGTTCCTTTGTATATAATTATACATAGTTTTCTATTGTAGTTAGTCATTTTTAGTTATATGTAGTTAGTA